ACAGGGCCTCGTTGTCGATGCAGTAGGTCTCGTCCGTGTTCTCCACCAGCTGGTGCACGGACAGGGTGGCGTTGTAGGGCTCCACCACCGTGTCCGACACCTTGGGCGAGGGCACCACGCTGAAGGTGTTCATGATCCTGTCCGGAAACTCCTCCCGGATCTTGCTGATGAGCAGCGTGCCCATGCCCGAGCCAGTGCCCCCGCCCAGCGAGTGCGTCAGCTGGAAGCCCTGCAGGCAGTCGCAGCTCTCGGCCTCCTTGCGCACCACGTCCAGGACGGCGTCCACCAGCTCCGCGCCCTCCGTGTAGTGCCCCTTGGCCCAGTTGTTGCCGGCTCCGGATTGGCCTGGGGAGGAACAGGGAGGGGACACACGGGCGCTTAGGGGAGGCTCCTACCCTCAACCCTGCCACCACCTAGAGGACCCCTAGGCCATGACTAATAACAGCAATGTCAAAAATAGGAACACCCCACACTGGCCAGCTGCAAAAAACCCAACCAAGCCAACAACCAAACAAAAACAGTAAAAGAATGAAGAGTTAACATGAAGATGATTCATATTATTATGTCTTCTATCTGCTTTCGTCTCTGCCCCCTTCACCCACCAGCCAGAAGGATCCCAGTAAAACCTAAATCAAATCATGTTCCATCTTAGCCCAAAACCATCCCAGGACTCCCATCTTTCACTAAAAGCCCAAGTCCCCCTCACTACCTGCCCCTGTCCCCTCTCTGCCCTACCCACTTTCCTCTCTCCCCGTGGCTCACTCTGCTCCAGACACCTGGGTCTCCTCGCTGTTCCTCCCACACGCCAGGCTCAGTCCTGTCCCAGGGCCTTTGAACGTGCTGTTCCCTCTGCCTGGCACGCTGCTCCCCCAGCCTGTCCCAAAGTCCCTCCTCACCTCCTTCAGGACTTTGTGAGCCTCAGCGAGGCTTTCCTTGAGTGCCCTATGCACAAATACAAGCCCTCCCCCTTTCTTGTTCCTCTTCCCTGCCGTATTTTTCTCTGTGGCACTGACAAGCCTGTTTTCTTATTAATCATGTTTATTGTCTATAATCTCGCAGTGAAATGCAAGCTGCAGGAGGACAAGGATTAGTACTAGAACGTTATTATTAGAATATTATTGTGAGCAGGCAACACTCTTTCTCACCCCTTCCTCTGCCTCCACCTTGGTCCGCCCCATCCTTGCCCGCAGCCCCCATGCCCTGGTCCCCCAACTCCTACCGTCACCTCACGGTCTGTTCTCCTTGAAGCCACCAGAGGGCGCCCGTGAGCACCTGAGTCAGGTCCTGTCCGTCCTCTGCCTACAGCCCTCCATGGCTCCCACCTCCATCAGGGGACCAGCCCAAGTCCTCCCCACGGCCCACAAGTCCCTCCACAACCTGCCCCTGGCCCCTCGCTCACTCTGCTGCAGCCTCACGGGCTGCCTCACTGTTCCTCCCACACGCCAGGCTCGGTCCCACCTTAGAACTTTTGCATTGACTGTTCGTGCTGCCTGGAATGCTTTTTCCTTTACATGGCTCCTCTCTCACCTTCTTCAGGTCTCTGTTCAATGTCACCTCCTCAGGGAAGCCATCTCTGACCATCCCCAGCCCCCGATCTGTAATGAACCCTCCTCTTTGTCCTCCATCTCCTTACCTTGTTTTATTTTGCTACATAGTCCCTGTCACTACTCTACCTTATATATATGTCCTTTTGTTTTTCTGCTTGTGTCTGTCTCCCCCTCCTAGAACATAACCTCGTGGAGGATAAGGACTTTGTCTTGGTCGTAGCTGTGTCTGGCACACAGTAGGTGCTGTTCTTACTCAACAATGGACTGTTTCGAGCGTCTAAAATATGCTAAATGTGGGCTGGCTGGTTAGCTCAGTTGGTTGGAGTGCGGCCTTATAACACCAAGGTCAGGGGTTTGGACCCCCAACCGGCCAGCTGCCTCCCCCTGCCCCCCAACAAAAAAGAACAATATGCGAGATGTGGGGCATGTCCTGCATCTCTGAATCTTTCCGCCAAATCTCTGAGGCCCATATGTACACACTCTTCTTACTTCCATTCTATAGGTGAGAAAACGGAGGCACAGAGAGGTTAGGTCATGTGTGGAAAGTCACCCCTCAAGCAAGTGACGCAGCCAAGAACGAGGCAGTCTGGCTTTTGGGTCCATACTTTTATCACCCCCAGCCCCCACCTCCCAGAGGCTGCAGAATCTCTTGGCCCATCCGCCAGCCACCCGTGGCCATCCTAGAATCCCTCATGCCCTTTGGCTAACCTCATTTCTTATTTCTTTTCTTTTCTTTTTTTTTTTGGCAGCTGGCCAGTATGGAGATCTGAACCCTTGACCTTGGTGTTATCAACACCATGATCTAACCAACTGAGCTAAGCAGCCAGCCGTCTCATTTTGTCTTTCTAAAGCCATTTCTTGAGGATCTATTATCAGCCACATCTATACAGGGGCATTACTGTCTTTCAGCATCTTTGCACAGATCAGAGAGGGAAAGTCACCTGTCCAAGGTCACACAGCTTGGCTCGTCAGTCCCTAGACTCCAGCCTTTAAACCACCCATGCTCAGAGGAGGAGGGATACTGGGGTGCTGGGAGAGGGTGGAGTCTGGGGCCTGAGGCCGGGGTGGAGGTGTACAGCCAGCTTGATCCAGGAAAGCTTTTCCGGAATGACAGTCACAGAGCGGAAGGCACCCTTGAGTCTAAGTGCCAAAAATGTCCCCACTGTCTTCCCATATGCTGTTCCATCTGTCTTGCACTTCTTTCCTCCCTTCAATGCCCCTTGGCTGGTCCAAGTCCTACTCATCTTTTAGGCTTCAGATAGTAATAATGATCATGAAAATCACAGCAACAAACACTTATTTACCTTTTCCACCGTGCTGGGCACTATTCTAAATTCTTTACACGTATGAACGGCTTTAAGCCTCACAATCTGCTACCCTGCAGATTCTCTTCTGCATTTGGTAATCCGTTTTAAAGACGAAGACACTGAAGTGTAGAAAGGTTAAGGAGCCTGTCCAAGGTCCCCTAGCGGACTCAATCCGGGGCTCTGTTTTCCTTATCTATCTCCTCTGTTGTCCATCTCCCGCCACGGGGGCGAGGAGCTCTGTCTGGTTTGTTCTTGCCTGTATCCTCAGCTTCTGAAACTGGGTGCTCACTCACTATTTGTCAAATGCATGAAGTGGCAGAGCTGGAATTCTCACCCAGGCAGCCTGGCTCTGGTCCACGTTGATGAATTAAAAATGCCACCTCCTCCAGGAAGCCTTCCCTGAAACCCCTCCTGTATCAGATGCCTCCCCAGGGCTCCCACAGTGGCCTGGGCATCCCCATCACAGCCCCGAATGCCGTCTGCCTCCGCCACTGGTATGGGGGGGTCCCTGTGACTCTGCGATGATATTCAGTAGAAAATTTTCATCAAGCATTTAGAAGTAAAAGGAATAAGGGGACTTCACTGCTTGTGCACCACGCTGGGGACTCACCAAAGACGAAGTTGTCAGGCCGAAAGATCTGGCCGAAGGGGCCAGAGCGGACCGAGTCCATGGTGCCAGGCTCCAGGTCCACCAGCACCGCTCTGGGGACATAATTTCCTCCTGTGGGGAAGCAGATGGAGGGGAGTTCAGGTGAGCGCCAGGAACCACAGCGCCTGGGAGCATCCTGTCCCCTCCCGGCTACTCCCCACCCCTGCTCTGGAAGGTGCCTCCTTGGCCCTACCTGTGGCCTCGTTGTAGTAAACGTTGATCCTCTCCAGTTGCAGGTCACTGTCCCCATGGTACGTGCCGGTGGGGTCGATGCCATGTTCATCACTGATCACCTCCCAAAACTAGAGGGGTGATGGTGGGCAGGGTTGAGCAAGGGGAAAGCAGGTGACCAGTCCCAGGATCCCCTAGCTGCTGCCTCTCCCCCAAGCAAGGTGAATGGGGGACCTGAGACATGGTGGCCAGGCCAGGATGAGGCAGCAAGAAGAGGTGGGGGCGGGGTGCAGAGTCAGCACCCAGCAGAGCTGCCTGGTGCCAACGCACCCGGGCTGCAGCCCCCGGGGGGAAGGGCGGGGTCTCTTTGTGCGCCTGGAGGGGACAGTGCTCCAGCTGTGAAGCCGGCTGTGGCGAGCAGACCGAAGGCCGGGGCCCCACTCCTACCGGCCTCTTTGTTCCCAGCCTGTCCCTGCCCCCAGTGCCCCCTCCCCCACCGTCCCCGGGGCGCTGGCCTCTTGGGGACCCCGTCCCCCAAAGGCCCCAGGTGGGGGATCTCTGGGGGGAACTCGAGGACCCGGCTGTGCTCATCTCGGGCGCCCCTCCCCGGGCCCGGTCCCCCGCGCACCTTGGCTCCGATCTGGTTGCCGCACTGGCCGGCCTGCAGGTGCACGATCTCTCGCATGGCGGTGGCGCTGACGGTGGACGCGGCGGCGGTGGCGCGGACGCTGGGACAGGCTGCGGCGGCGACGATGCACTGTCCCTGCGCCCCCGGGGTGTCTGTATATCAGCAGGCGGGGCTCACGTCACGGCCGGTCACCGCCCGCTCCGCCCCCTGGTCCCGCCCCAGGCCTGAGGGTGCGGGGGTGCAGGGATCGCCCTCCCCAGCGGCCTCCGAGACCTCCGGGGGTACGGGCTGGGGCGTGCCAGGGCCACTCCGGGCCCCTCTGAGCCATCTCCCCCCTTTCCATGCCTCCCCGCCCTCAGGCGGGCCCGGCCACCCGCATTTTGCAGAAATTGAGTGGGGGAAGGGGCAGCACTTGGTACACAAGGAGCTGAGAATTGCTGTCGCTTCTCTATCCCCACGACCTCCACCTCCAGGCCGTGCCTCAGTTTCTCTGGCCACGGCCTCCCTCCTCATTCCATTTAGACCTCGTTTGCCAGAACCCTTGCATTAACCAGGAGGGCTCCTAGTGGGGCCGATCTAGGGGCTCCAGAGTAGCGATCTGATTGGGGGGTGGAGGTAAAGGGCTCATGGTTCCCCTGAGGACTTGTGTTAAAGCTGCAGAATCAGTCAAAGCACCATTTTCCTTCCGTGTTTGGTTGTGGATGCTTGTGGAAGCTGGTGGAGATTGTGGGGGAACCCTGGGCTCCCCCTGGACACCTATGTTGGGCTTTGGGCCCATCCCGGGTGGGATCACCCTAGCCTGGCCTGGGGAGGATCAGAGAGTAAGACTTATAGCTGAATTACATATTTGGGGGAAGGAGAGAGGATAGCGATTCCCCCCCTGGGCTGCCTTGTTCCTCCAGATCAACGCCTCTTCCCTCCCTTATTATTCCTTGTTATAATTCATTACAAACCATCTCCCACATCTTTGCATCTTTTATTAGCTATATGACTTTGCACAAGCCACTTCTTTCTCTTCCTGAGCTTCCTCATTTGCAAGAAGGAGTAGTAATGAATGCCTGCCCTCCTGGGCTGTTGGGAGGGTCCAGTGACATGGCCCAGTCAACAACAAGGGGGCCCCAGTCTACCCTCGCACAGAGTCAAGGATAAATTGTATCCATTTTGATTACAATTATTATCAGGGGCTGGTCAGGATTTCCTGGGCTGCCCCTCAGGTGAAGGTCAGGTCTCTTGGGGCCTCCTTCTGCTGGCAGCCTCCAGCTCTGCCATCCCAGGAAGCCTCCTCCTCACCCCTCCTCAACTTAAGGACTTCTGCCTATTGTAGGTTGGGGTGGGGAAGCCACGTAGACCATATGGTTCCAACCTCACATTGCCGAACCTCACATTTGCCGCTGGCCTCTAATTCTGACCAGTGGCTCTCAAACATGAAGGGAGGTGGTACTTTTGCCCCCCAAGGGACCCCAGGCAATGTGTAGAAACATTTGTGGTTGTCACAACTGGGATGTGGGGGTGCTTCTGGCATGGAGTGGGTGGAGGCCAGGGATGCTGTTCAGCACCTGTAGTGCCCAGGATGCCCTCATCACAGGGAACGATTCGGCCCCAAGTGTCAATAGGGCTAGGGCTGAGAAACCCTGTGTTATTTGGGAAAAACATTTGAGCGAGACTGCTAGCTCACAGTAGACACTGGAATAAATTCCAGATGGATTAGATGGTATATGGGTTAGACTGGGGTGGGTCCCCCAGCTTCTGTGATTTACCTCCTCTCTCCCTCCCCACTTAGTTCGTATGTATGTATGCATGTGTGTATTTTTCCCCCCGAAAACCATTTTTTATTTGCTTGCATAAGGTATTGCCCATAGGAAACCAATTTGGCTTAGCCCTCTTCAAAACTCCAGTACAATCTCAAAGGCATCCTGGGGTTTTACTCAGCCACACCTAACAGTGCCTAAAAACACCTATGCATCCTATCTTGCCTCATAAATCCATGAAAGTCTGCAGATTCTCCCAGCTCTAAAAACAGTGATGTTTACCAAAATCGGCAGTTTCTCTTTACCAAAACGTAGGCAACGTCTGGTATAAGAGGGTAACAAGATTTGGCTTTACCAATATTGCATGAAGACTAAAGAGTGATTTCATCATTCTGCTTTGCAATGTAGTTTCCAGAAATCAACTGTGATAAAGAGCAGGAAATTACTTCGTTAACATTTTACTAACTCCTAAAACACTGCAAGTTGGATTTAACAGCTTGTTATGATTTATAGGTGTCATTTAAAAAACATCAATCCGTGAAACCATGTAGAGATAAGTATGCAGAAAGTCTGCAAAACAAAGCATACTTGAAACATGTTTAAGTAGACACATGATCTGAAATTCTGGATTTTTCAGACACTTCATTATTATGCTATGGCAGCCAAGTAATGCCTCATGTCCATTGGAGTAAGCCTCCTAAATCCAGTTTCATTGCAGATTCCAAATTCTATGTATTTGCTGCCACTCTCTTGCTGTGTGAACACCTTGAATTCCAAGTTGCAGATCTTCTTTATATTGTTTCTCAAGAAAGTTTCCCCATCACATAATTCTTTCCCATTGCTGTGGTTTTCCAGGCAAAGCAAGCTCCAGATGGATCTAACTGAAATAAATATTGTCATCTCTCATTTCAACCAGAGAGAAGAAAATCCAAATGGATGAAGACCACCTGACTGGGTGTATCCTTTTGTCCGGGAGCTACTCTCTGCAGCAGCTGAGCTGTGGGAATGAGTTTAGCAAGAAATCAGTATTGCTGGGCCGGTCCGTGGCTCACTTGGGAGAGTGCGGTGCTGATAACACCAAGGCCACGGGTTCGGATCCCATATACGGATGGCTGGTTGCTCACTGGCTGAGCATGGTGCTGACAACACCAAGTCAAGGGTTAAGATCCCCTTACTGCTCATTTTAAAAAAAAAAAAAAAAAAAAAAGAAATCAGTATTGCTGAGCTAGTTTTTGAGCCTGTGCACAAGCTCTCTGTAACTGCCCCATGCGTTCTACACCAAACCCATATGCTCGATGCTGTGGGTTGAATTGTGTCCCCCAAAGGTTCATGTATTAATCCCCACTGTGACAGTGTTGAGGGTGGGAAATCCTATTATGGTAATTGAAAGGTGGGGCCTTTAAAAGGTGATTAGATTGTGAGGACTGTGGCCTTGTGGATGGATTGATTCATTCACGGAGTAATGGGTGAGGTTCTGATGGGTTTATAAGGAGAGTGAGTGAGCAGGTTAGCTTTCTCTTGCTCAGCCCTGTTGCCATGGGGTACCCTGCCTCCCTGTGGAGAGTCACCATCATTTTTGAAGGTCCTCACCAGATGTGTTCCCTGGACTTTGGACTTCCCAGCCTCCAAAACTGTAAGAAATAAATTTTCTCTATGAATCACCCAGTTTCAGGTATTCTGTTATAAGCAACAGAAACTAATATGCTTGGTAATCGATTTTGCTCTGTATATATCTTGCTCATCGTATAGAATGGATTTCTGTTTCTCTGCAGTCACGGATAGCACACCATTTGCAGCTTTAATTCCCACTGAAGGGGTCCTCCAGCTACAGCAGCCAAAGCATATTCAACCTGGACAGGTTTACCAGACGTGCTGAAAGTAGTCAGTGAACAGCTGCAACCATGCTGCGTCTGCCGTCTTTACCCGGAGAGCTCTCAGTGCGTTTATTTAAATGTGTGCTACTTCCTAGGACTTCAGTAGGCCAGATAATTACAGAACACAGAGTCTCTTGGGGGTCAATGGACTTCCCTAACCAGGGAATTCTCAGCCAGGGGTGATTCTGCCCCCCAGGGGACACTTGCTGATGTCTAGAGACATCTTTGATCATTACAGCTTTCGGGGTGTTCCTGGCATTGAGTGAGTGGAGGTCAGGGATACTGCTCATCCCATAATGTACAGGATGGCTCCTACAGCAAAGAATGATCTGATCCCGAATGTCAATGTCAATAGTACCACGGCTGAGTGACGCCGATTTAGGCTTTCGGGGTTGTCACCCAACGCCTTGTTACAACTGATCACAGAGACACAGTACCCGATTGAAATAGGCGGCCCACCAACCCACGTAAATGTATATCAAGAATTTGTCAACCCTGTGTTGGCATTTCTTAACTTTTTAATATATCAAGAATCTTAAAAAAAGAATAAAAACAGAAGTGGCCCTGCTGGGAGGGGATGATTTAGGAGTATGGGCTCAGTCCTGGAAAAATGGGGTTTTCCTGTGTCACCCTGCCAGGACACGGCTGAATTGGGGTGTAGACTCAGCAGTTGGGGGGGGGGTTCCTTGGTTAGCTCACCTGGGAAGGGACAGCTCCTTGGAAAGTACAGGCCATGCAGAGACCACTATCTTTTTCTATCTCAGAGCATCCCTTGGGCTCCCTGATGGCCCTCAGGGGAGGAATCTGGAGGGAGGGCAAGAGGCAAGAGAATGGAGAGCAGAGGGTGGCCTTCTAGTGCCCGGGGCTGCTGGGACCTGGCATTGCCCGATACAGAGACAGTCCAGAGATATAGAAAGCCTGTGGGGATGAAGGGGAGAGGGGTTTGGGGTGGGCGATGTCACCCCTCCCCAGTCTGGCTCTCCTAAGCTCCAGTCCTGGGAGGTAAAGACCACCAGGTGTGCCCGTAGCTCCCAGGTGAGCAGACTCCCCCTGGTACCCAGGTGTCCCATGGCATCACCTACCACCCAGAAAGCCATCAAGGCTCCCAGCAGGAATCCGAAGACCATGTCGTAGGGGTGGTGCCAATGGTCTAAGGTCTGGATGTAGCCCGTGAGCAGAGCCAGTGATAAGAAGAGGAACTGGATGGTTGGTCGCAACAGCTTGGTCTTCTGTCCCCAGTAGCGGGCCTGCACATAGAGCTGGGGGGTGGGTGCGCAGTGCTGTGAAGACCGGGGAGCTGGTATCGAGAGGCACTGCATTTTTGCGGCCACCTGACCCATACTATGAAGCAGGACATTCTACCTTGACAGTTTTGTACGAAAATGGAAGTCAGTGTGTAAACAGGGTATTGGCTGTGGCCACTGGTTTTTCCCTATTAGCTACGCACTAGTGTTGGGAGAACTGTTAGACACGGCATGGAGGACTTCCCATGCAGTCAGCTGAGACCATACAGGTGAGCCTCATGTCGTGGCCCAACACCCCCACCTCCTGCAGGTGGCAGATCTCCAATCAAACTGGGTCAGACTCATCAGGGAACCCTCAAACAGCAGAGATTGGGCTGATTTTGAAACGGCAAACAAAAGCCAAAAATTTCCCATTTTCAAACAATAGGTTTAAAAACATCAGATCCACTTCCTAGATATGAGCAGTAAGGATGGGAAAGAGACTGTTATATGTTTTGGGGGAGAGATCAGGCATTGGCACTAGATAAGAGAATTCCTGGAGACCCAGAACATTCTGCTCACAAAACTGACTACCCTTTCTGAGGACCCTGAAACCAGAAAAAGGCCTCGTGGCCTGGACCTAGTTGTATGTGATTTGTTTGCCACCTAGGGTGGTGGTAGGGAGGGGGACACTTCCACTCCATCTGTGAGCCTCGAGGCATTGGTGACATGCATCCCAGATCCAACCACCCTGTGGGGGACAGAAGGAGTCCTATTACTGATAACAATAACGATGTTTAGACCAGATCCTATGGTCAGACCCTTTTCTATGTGCTTTAGTGTGTATCAGCTGGTTTATGTTTTCACTCATGAAACCACAACCATAGGCGGTAGGTGCTGTTTGCGTGCCCATTTTACAGATGAGGAAATGGAGGCCCAAGGAGGTTGAGTATCTCACCCAAGGGTCACACACTGTTGAGGCTGGGAATAAAGGCCACAGAGACTGTGCATTCCAGGTCCAACACCCCAGGTCTTTATCACTATAGGATGCTGTAGTTACTTTGTTACTTGGTTTTTGAAATTAAAAAAAAAAAAAAATGGCTGGCAGTCAAATCGGTTGTCTTTCAGGAAGAAAATGTTGCTGGTGTTGAGGTGGCTGTGTGACCATCATGTGCCTTTGTGTGCTGGCCTGTGGATCACGGGCTCTTTCCCAGAGGTCCTTCCTGCCCCCTCTCTGGCCCCACCTTCCACCTCACCACACAGACCTTCCACCTGCACTTCAGCTGGGTCTGATGGTCTTTCTCCTTGCCCTGGCAGAGCCCAGCCCTGGGCATGGGCCCAGCCTGGCACAGGCCCTCTCCAGCTGTGGGGAGGGGTGGGACAGAGGACTGGGATGCTAAATGAGCCTTTAAGAGCACAGAAGCTCTCCCAATTCCAGGGGCACACACGAGCTCTGTGGAAGCCGTGCCTGGCACTGCTGGCACCAAATATAGGGTAGAGGGTGGCGGCAAGGGGACAATGGAGCATTCTCTGGCCTTGCTGGGTATGTGGACTGCCTCTTGCCAACACTCACCATCAGATACACCATGCAGTACATCCCGAAGGAGGCGTGCTCAGAATAGAAGGATTTCCTGGGAGATGGGCAGGAAGGAGGGCAGAGATCAGCGGTGGCTGGGGTGGGGAAGGGATGCTCCCCACCCGCCCACTTGCCTGGCATTGAGGATGTCGGCAGGCTGCCCGGTGCAGGTGTAGTTGGTGATGTAGCCGCTGTCGCATTTGAAGGAGGTTGGGTCTGGCTGGCACACGGCCAGGAAGTGGGGCCGCAGGCTCCCGGTGGTCATTTTGGCAATGTTTGCCAGGGAGTAGCTGGCCATGCCGCCGAAGATGAAGGTGCCCAGATGCTTGTAGACCATGACCATGTAGGTGCTGTTTAATAAGGCTGGCGAGCTCAGCTGCAGGCTCCGGACACGGATCATCTCTCCGAGGCTGATCTGCGGGGGTGGGGCGTAAACCACTGCTGGGGGCAGGGGAACAATAAGAGTGGAGAATCCTCAACACTTTGTCTCGGACAGGTTCCATATTCCCTTCTGCATGTGGAAAAGGGGTGCGGTTTTCCACTAAACCAGGCAAAAGGGCAGGGCTTCTCGATTTGTCATACACAGAAATGGGAGACTTCTCCCACCCCTGTGTCTGCAATGGGCAGGATTTCCTATTTCACTAGGGCTAGGAGCATGGCCTCCCATTTAACCAAGAAGAGGGGTGAGACATCCCCCTATTTTATGGCAGACATCGGCAAGAGTCCCATATGTGAAAGGGTTGGGACTTCCTGTTACATTACACCAGGAAAAGGGGTGGGACATCCCCACTTTTTATGTCATATAGGCAGGATGACATCAGGAAGAGAGGATAGACTTCCTCTCAAATGCTTGCAGCTGGTGGGACCTCCTTTTCCACCAGGAGAAAGAGGCAAGATAGTCCCTCTATGTCTGAAAGGAGGAGATTTCCCAGCACAGCAGAGAAGGGGCAGGACTGCTTCCTGCTTTATGCATATAAGGGATGAAGGTTTCCTGTCTACTAGGGGAAGAAGCTGAACTTTCTTTTGCTCCATGCTCAAGGCAGAGAGGTGGGCGCCTCCTCTGTCCTGTGTCAACAAGGGCTGAGCCTTACCTTTTCCTCAAGGGAAGGTTTTCTTCTATGTCATCAAGCAGCGAAAGTTCCCATGTCATTAGGAAAAGAGGTGGGACTCCCTCCTGCCTTAGGGCAGGGCTTCCAACTTTGCCAGAGAAAGGGTGAAGCTTGCCGTGGCATGTCACCACTACACGGGGTGAAGGTGTCCAGCCCCTTACCATGAAGATGCAGATTAAGAAGTCCATGGTGATGAGTGCCGAGTCCTCGATGGCATAATTGGACACCCGAGGGTATTGGATAGTGTTGTCGTCGCAAAAGAAGCCCTGGAAGTGGGGTGCTACGTAACCGCTCTCACAGAGCAGGGTGGGGATGCTGACTGCAGGGGACAGAGAAGACCCCACTCATGGCTGGGTCACCTGAGGCTTACTCTCCTCAGGCCGTCTGGCCAGCCGGTCCTTCCTGTGTCTTCACAGCCTGGACATGGTGGGAGGGCAGGAAGGCTCTGCAGGGGGATGATCTGGCCAGAAGGTGAGGGAGGGGAGAGCCCCAGGGACCCGTCCATGGATAGGGTCCTCTCAGCCACCCTGCAGTCAGCATCCTCCCTCAGGTGTGTGAGATGGTGGGAGGGTGGGTGGCGTGGGTAGGTGTGGCATTTGTGGATGTGTGAATGAGGTAGGTGAGGGGTCAGGACAATGAGGGGGTAAGGGTGGGAGAACTCAAGTCTTCTGTATGTGTGTGTGTCCTGATGAGTGCAGGTATACGTGTGTGCTGTGGCTCTGTGCGTCTTTGCATGGGTGCATATGTGTGCACGTGTGTGTCTCAGCTTATGGATGACTTTTCTGTTACCTGCTATATGAATAGGTCTCTGTGAATCTGTGAATGTGTGTTTTCTGGGGTGTCTTTCTGTGTAGTTGTGAGCCAGTCTGTGGCTATGAAAGTGTGTCTTTGTGTGTGCAAGTCTCTGTGTCTTTGCAGGTATATGACTATGTCTAGGGAAGTGTTCGTGTGCATGTTTGTCCTGGTATATGCCCGTGTGCTTGAAGATGTGCATGAATGTAGATGTGTGTGTCTTGGTGTGTGCGCATCTCATGCGTCGTGTGTATGCGTGGTGTGAATATGTGTTTGTGATGCAGGTGGATAGCTGTTTGGGTGTGCATGCTCCTGTATGTGATCTGGGGGTGTGTTTGTGTGTGTGTCTGAGGTTATGAGTGTGTGTCTGTGGAAGTGTGGGTTGTGCTGGCATTTGTGTGTGGTTGTGTCCAGGGTTTATTTGTGTGTTTATGCTTACATCTGTGGCTCTATAGCTGACTCAGTTGGGGGATATTGGTGTGAATGTGTGTTTGAACAGGGCCCAGAGCCCCACCCCTCCTGACATTATCATCCTAAGGTCAGACAGGGCTGGGGGCCTGTCTCCAGCAGGTGCTAAGCTTTCTATCAGACTCACCCACCCCAAAGGCCTCCTCCCAGCCCCCCCACGCTTCCTTTGACCCTGTTCTTTCTGTGGCCCCTGAAGTCTAGTAGAGCCAGGCAGCTGGAAACAAGCCCCCCACACCCTCTAACTCCCTTCCTAGGCTGAATGAGGGGAGGCAAAGCTATTGTCCCAGCTTGGCCTCCCCTCCCCAGAGGGGCCCTTGGTTACTGGTTCTGCCTAGTGGAGATTTGGGGGCAATGGTGTATGTCAGTTATGCATCTAGATTCCAGGCAAGCACAATCCACACAGATGCCAGATACACACCCATAGAATCTGACATACACAGTTATACAACGACATAGTCTGACCCAGACATCCAGAGTCAGATATACACAGACATACACACAATGCAACAATATACACATAATACACATAGGTCTGCACAGAGCCAGATGCACACCCAGATACACAAATACCATTGGACCCACCTCCAATGTAGATATGTGCATAGTCACAGGCTCCCAAAGACTAAGTACATGCGTAGGAGTCACCCACAGAGTCACACATAACAAACACTCCATCTCTTCTAAGCCAATACAACATAGTCAGATACTGACACACAGAGATGCACAGAAACCCAGCGAGAGACACACATACCGAGCCAGATACACACAGAGCCCACTACAGACAGCTAGACCTACATACAGACCCACATGCACGCACACACTTGGAATCATACATACACACAGATAGAAATACAACACAGATCCACGTACATACATCCAACACACATACAGTCAGACGTACACAGAGATATGCAACGCACACACACAGACAAACCCAGACACACAACCCAACAATAGACACAGACCCAGGAGGCAGGCAAACATACAGCCATATATACCAAGTGCTGTGGACACAAAAGCCACACTTGTGGAGGGTCCTTTTCTCTCCCATTCGTACACATTGATACAGACGCCCCAGAAACACTGTGACACACATGGATGACATACACACGACCCAAGTACACACACCAGTGCAAACAGCCCCCAGTCTAGTGACTCTCAGGTAAAGACCGAGAGGGACACAGACCCCTTCCACAACCGCTTGGATCTCGGGATGGGGGTGCTCAAGGCTGGTGGGGAGGGGGCTCACCCAGCAACAGACAGAACACGTCCAAAGCCACCAACATCTTGGCGGTCCCGGAGCTCGGCAGTGGAGTGGGTGGGGTCATTCCCCGCAGGCTCTGGTGTCGGACCCTCCACTCGGGCTGGGTCATGACCGCGTGTGATTTTAGGGACTGCGGGCGGGGGTGGAGGAGGGAGGACGGTGGGGTGGGTATGCCCACCCGGACTGGGATAAGAGTTCACTAGCCAGGCGGGGCCCCAGCAGGGAGAAGCGGGCAGGGATGGTGGGGACCACCGTGGGCCGGGGCGGGGTCCCATGTTAGGGCGGTCCGGGGAAACTGAGGCCGTTCTCGCTACCTTAGCGAGTTACTGGACAGCACATCTCACACCAGGGGCGCGGCGGCTCTGGGGTGGTGGGTGTGCATGGGGCCTGGAAGAAGGTAGGGCAGAACCAAAGGGGCGGGGCCTGAAGGAATAAGACGGAGTCTTAGTGACCCGCAGGCCACAAAGTGCCCAGCGAGGTCGCATGAGGGGTCGGGATGGTTAGAAGACTTGGACCGGTCAGAGGGTGCAGGGCTCTGGAAGGGTGGAACCCAGCACAGGGGCAAAGATGTGAGAGGAGACCAGACGGGGCGGAGCCTGCGGAGAGGGTGGTGCTGGACTAAAAGGCAGCAACGCGAGTATAGCAGGGGAATGGGCAGGGCCTGGGAGGCACACGGGGGTAAGTGGGCGGGGCCTAAGGAGAATGACAGGGAAGTGGGAGGGACTGAGGAGTGGGCAGGGCCTGGGAGGCTGATGGCTGGGGATTTGGGCGGGGCCTAGGGAGAAAGGGAAGTGGGAGCACCCGAGTGGGCGGGGCCTGGGAAGAGGACGGCCGAGGGAGTGGGCGGAGTCTAGGAAGAATGACAGGGAAGTGGGAGGGGCTGAGGAGTGGGCAGGGCCTGGGAGGCTGATGGCCGGGGAAGTGGGCGGAGTCTAGGAGGAATGACAGGAGCAGTGGGAGAGTCTGAGTGGGCAGTCTGGGAGGAAGATGGAAGATGGCCGTGGAAGTGGGTGGGTCTAGGGAGAATGACCGGAAGTGGGCTGGGGCTGGGAGCCGGGTTGACTCTGGGAGGGGCGGGCCCGCTTGTCTCTTGGATCCTGGGGCAAAACCCACGTGGTCGTCGGGGTTCATCCTGGCTGCGCGCTGGGCATTCCAGGTGTTGGGCGACTCCTCGGCCGTCACCTTCTGCCTGAGAGACATGGCTGGGCCGGCAAGGACCCTTGGCTCTGCGTCCAACGGCCGCCCCGCCCCGCCGTCCTCGTTGGTCGCGCGCGGCCGAATGGGAATCCGCCTCCGGATGCCCGGTTCTTCCACGGTCCCGGGAGCAGCCCCGGCTGGCGGGGTCGCAGGGAGGGCTGAGTACCGCGGCTGGGGGTCTTCGGTCCCACGGTCCTCCCCGCTTCCAACCCACTCCTGCTTCCCCGGTTCTGTTCCCGCGTCCAAGTCCCTGCCCCGTGCGGCTCCGGACGCCCATCTCCCTGCTCCCGCGTCTGCAGTCTCTTTCCTGTCCGGACTCTGCGTGCGGTGCTCGGAAGACCTCGAGCAACCTTCCCCACGCCCCAGCCTGGAACCCCCCACGCGTTTCGGCTCCTGGGACCCCGCTCCGTGCAGCCCTGGACTGAGGCCCCCGGTCCACCAGGGGGCGCCCGCCGCCCACACTGGGCGTCGCTACCGAGAAGAGTAGACAGGTCCCCAGAAGGAGGAGCCTGGGTCTCCTCGTAGGGGATGGATCTTAGGTAGTCTGAGGGCTGGGGCCTGGGTCACCTCTGCGGGGCGGATCTTGCGTGTTTTGAGGAGTAGTGCCTACGTCTCCTCTGGATGGGGGGGAAGATCTTGGGTGATCTTAGGGTTGGACCTGGATCTTCTTTAGGGTTGGACCTGGATCTTGGTCTCAGGGTTGGACCTGGGTCTTTTCTTGAGGTAAGTGGCTCTTTGGTGGTCTCAGGGTTGGACCTGGGTCTTTTCTTGAGGTAAGTGGCTCTTTGGTGGTCTCAGGGTTGGACCTGGGTCTTTTCTTGGGGTAAGGGGCTCTTGGGTGGTCTTAGGGTTGGACCTGGGTCTTTTCTTGAGGTAAGTGGCTCTTTGGTGGTCTTAGGGTTGGACCTGGGTCTTCTTTTGGTGTAGGTGGCTCTTGGGTGATTTTAGGGTTGGACCTGGATCTTCTCTTGGGTGGTCTCAGGGTTGGACCTGGGTCTTTTCTTGGGGTAAGGGGCTCTTTGGTGGTCTCAGGGTTGGACCTGGGTTTTTTCTTGGGGTAAGGGGCTCTTGGGTGGTCTCAAGGTTGGACCTGAGTCTTTTCTTGAGGTAAGGGGCTCTTGGGTGGTCTCAGGGTTGGACCTGGGTCTTTTCTTGGGGTAAGGGGCTCTTGGGTGGTCTCAGGGTTGGACCTGGGTCTTTTCTTGAGGTAAGTGGCTCTTTGGTGGTCTCAGGGTTGGACCTGGGTCTTCTTTTGGGGTAGGTGGCTCTTGGGTGATTTTAGGGTTGGACCTAGGTCTCCTCTTGGGGCGGGGCCTGGGTTCCTTTGGTTGTGCTGCCTTTTTTGTTCTTGTTTCAGGTGTCTCTCGCGTGTCTCAAATTTGGCCCGTTCAGTGTGTGACTTGTGTGCCCTTGGTGGTCCCTGGGTGTCTGATATTGCATGTCTCTGACTGTATATCCCAGGGTCCTTGAGTCTCCTTGAGGCTGTTTATGTGTTTGTGGGTATGTGTGACCATGACCCACCCTGCATCCCCAGGCCTGGGGAGGTGACAGGGCTCTGCGTCTCCATGACTCTTTCTCTGTGGTGATTTTGTGTTTCTGTAATTGTGGGTCCCTCTGTCTTTCTATGTGATTGTGTATATGCAACTGTGTGCCATATGTAACTGTGTGGCTCTGTGTGACTGCCCCTATGTGTCCAGGATTGGGTGCCTGTGTCCAGGTGTCTGTATTGGTGTGGGTGATTTTGTATGTGTCTGAATTGTGTGTCTCTGTGTCTACTTATGTGTGTGTGTGATTGTATGCCCTTAATGTGTGTCCTTGTGTGTGTCTATGGCTAGCTATGGTGCCTGCCCATGTGTCTATGGTTGGGTCTCTGGGTGTCTGTCTCAGTGTGTAACTGTGTGTGTAGCTGTGTTGTGTATCTCCATATCTGTTTTGGTATGTGTGTGATTGTGTGTCTATGAAGGTGTGGTCTATTCACAGTGTGCTTGATTATATGCCCTGAATATACATCTCTTGTGTTCTTATGTGTGTCCTTTGTGTGTCTATGGCTATCTTTGGTGGCTACCCTTGTGTATCTATGATTGTGCATCCAGGTGGGGTGTGTGTGTGTGTGTGTGTGAGATTGTGTGTATATCTGCATGGCGTGTCTGTCTCTGTGTGATTGTATATGTCTTGAATGGGGGTATCTTTTATGTCCCTGGGTCTAACTGTGTGTGTTCAGTAGCTCCTCCCCTGGGGAGCTGGAGAGTCCCTTCTTGGTGATAGCCCTGCTGGGATTCCCTTTCAGGACAGGTTAGCTTGCTTCCCAGCACAGTGATCTGGCTTCTTTTGCCCCTCAGGGAGGTCCCCGGGCCCCACCTGGGTCTGCCTGGGTCTTCCCCATTTCTGGCTTCCCCGCCTCTGTGTCCTTCCACGGCCCTTCATAGGGAAACACCATTTCCTGCCTTTGATGTCACTGGTGCTAAATTTTCCCTTCTTCCAAACAGCTCTGGCCACTGGTTTCTTTCTTCGTGTATGCACAATTGACCACAATTTTGTGCTTAACATTAAAAAAAAAACCCAAACACATGGAAAATGCAAGTGGACAAAATTGTAAACAGTAAAGGTTCACATCCTCTCACCCCTGACCGCCTCCCCCAAGTTTTTTACATACTTTCAAAAAATGTTTTATACAAATACATCTCTGCTTTAAAACAAAACCTATATTCTATACACAGCATCTTGTACCTTGCTTTGTTTTCGTAGCACTTGAAGATCTCTGTTGAGGCCCAGAGAGATAAGTTAACCATCTTCATGCTTGATGATTGAGCTGATTCTCTTCCGATGACTGTTGAGGTCATTTCCATTCTGAGCAATTTTGCAACAGATGTCCCTGTCTTTTTGCCCAGATGTTGGCACTTGCTTTTGGACCTCGGTGGTTCATTTGCATGATCAACCCTCATACACAGTCATGCGGACACACCAGCCTCCCTAACCCATTGTTAGCAGCGATGACGGCCAACCCTATTGAGCACCTGCTGTATGCTGGGCTCTATTCTGGCTTCCTCATTCTGGATAACAATCCTACAAGGTAGTCACCGGCATTAGTCTCACTTCACAGATGGGGAAACTGAGGCACAGAGAAGTGAAGGAATTGGCTTAAGATCATACAGCTAGCAGAAGCAGAGCTGGGATTTGAAGGCAAGAGGTTTTGATCCTCTGCTATGCTGTCCCTCAACTGGAAACACAGCCATGCACACATGGATTCTCCAAAATATGCATCATCACATTGGAGTAGCCGGGGATGCACCCCAACTCCACAAAGCTTAATTGCTTTGCACAAATACTTTGCATTTCTTACACAGTACCCCAGGTGCACATACTAACGTGCTGGATCTGTGTTTTCCTGGCCTGCCTAGGGCCACGGAGACCCAGATCCAGCTTATCCAGAGAGTTTATTGATTTGGGTGATACAATTTCCCACTTTGTGTCTCTTTCCTCAATCAACACATATCAACACTCCCATGGTTCAAGGCCAACCATGCTTGGTTCTTTCCTTCCCTTTTTTCTTCTCTTCTCCCTTCACACATGCATTCGGTCCCCAGCTCACTTGCCTTCTCACCCACGCACTTACTCAGCAAACACCACTAACGCTCTCTGTGAGGTTTTGCCTCTGCCCTGGGGAGACCTAGGATTCAGGCCAGTTAAAAGTTGACACTGGGGGACGCGACTGGCCAAGCATGGGGAGCGTGCTACAGAGATCCTGGGGAGAAGGTGATCATTTCTGCTAGGACAAATTAAGGCATACTTCCTGGGAGAGGCGCTTGTTCACTTGACCTCAGAGGTGGAAGAGGAGCTGCCCAGGCAGAGACTGGGGTTCTCTCCCCTCTGACTACTTCCTGCCCAAGCCCCATCTGGAGCCCTATGATGGTGAGTGTGGAGGCTCAGGCCCTCCCCTGTAGATGAGGAAAGTGAGGTCCTATGCTCACTTCGGGGAGACAGCTGAGCACAGAGGTGTGACTCCACCAAACGCAGGGTGCTAGGAAGGTGATACCGAGAGCTTCACGGTGGGCGGGGTTGTCTGGCTCAGATGTCCCAACCACAGCACGTCATGGTGCTCCCTGGCTGCGGCCTGAGCTTTCTTCAGGCTGACAGGCCATGTTTCCCCTCCCAGAGGGGGTGTACAGAACTCTGCCAAGCCCCCAGCGTAGAGGGGAGTTCAGAGCAGTCGCTGTGAGACTTTAGCCAAGTGGTTTCATCTTTTGGGGTCTTCATTTCTGTACCCTCATATCAGGGATGATGGGGTCCCACACAGCTGTAGAAAGGATTCAGGGATAAAATTAATGACAGCTCGCCTTTATTGAGCATTTACTGCGTGCTTGGCAGTGTGCTCCCAGCAAGCCCTCAACCACCCTTTGGGGGATCTACTTTTTTTTTTCTTGCAGCTAGTGGGTATGGGGATCTCAACCTTTGACCTTGGTGTTATAACACCACACCCTTGACTTTGGTGTTACAACGCTGCGCTCTAACTGACTGAACTAACTGACCTGCCACTGGGGTCTTCTATTATTTCCATCTGACACATGTGAAAAATGAGTGGAATCAGAGAGGTGAAGCAGCTGGCCCAAGAGCACGCAGCACAAAGTCAGAAGAGCTGGAATTCAACATGCTAGGGCAGGGACAGCAAACTTTTTTCTGAAAAGAACGAGAGAGTTGGGGGTCGGCCAGTTAACCAACCAACTGGTCAGTTGGTTAGAGTGCTATATTTTAACGCCAAGGTCAAGAGTTCAGATCCCCATACCAGCCAGCTGCCAAAAAAAAGGACCAGAGAGTAAATATTTCGGGCTTTGTGGGCTAGCCAGTCTCTTGTCACAACTACTCAACTCTGCTGTAGTAGCAGAAAAGCCCCCACAGACAACACGTAAATGAATGAGCATGACTGTGTGCCAATAAAGCTTTATTTATGAACATTGACATTTGAATTTCATATACTCTGCACATGTCACAAACTATTCTTTTGACTTCTTTTGAAGCCACTTAAAAACAAGCAAAAAATTCTCAGTTTGTGGAGCTGTGCAAAAAGTAGATTTGGCCTGCAGGCTGGAGTTCATCGAGCCTGGGTCTAGAGCCTCTGCTTTTAACCTTTATGCTACGTTTCCTTCCTTCTTTCTTTCTGTAAATATCATGGAGGCCTGCAATGTTCTAGGCACTGGAGATAATATGGGAACAAGGTGGATAAAGATGCTGTTCAGGAGCTTACAAATTAGTGGGGGAGACAATCGTAAGCAAGTAAAGAAATAAATGAACAAGGACATTTCAGATGGTGGAAATTGCTAGGAAGAAAATCCGATGGGGTGATGTAACCAGGGCCTGAGCGAGGGAGGGATACGTTCATTTTGGTTGTCTGAGGAGGTGACCTTGCGGTCCTCCAAATTCCTCTTTTTGTCACTTTACCAGCTTAGGCAATCCTCAGCTGTGGCCTGCTCTGGGGTAATAATAATAAACAGATCGGTTCATCATTAATCCTCACTGTGAACTGCGAGCTTCTTAGGGGCAGGGAGGTGGTGATATTAAGGGAAAGCCCTTTGGCTTTGGTATCTTTAAATCTTCCTGGTGGGTCAAATTCCTTGGAGGGGGGTCTTTTGCCTTTTTCTCATCTTCTGGATCCTGGATGCTGAGGGGTGGGGTAGAGGGGACGAAGGTTAAAGGGGCATGTGCCTTAATTCAGTCATCACTTTTCAGGCTGGATTTGACCCTCCTGTTTTCAGCATGATTCCCAGAGAGACAGACAGGGAGAGACACAGTGAGAGTCAGAGACAGAGAGAGACAGAGATGCAGAGAGAGACACAAGCAGAAACACAGAGAGACAGAGGCAGAGACACACACGCAGAGAAAAAGATCCCCAGCCACCCTCTGCAGAGCCCATCGGCGGAGACAGAGAAAGACAGAGCTCGGGAGACTCCCAGGGAAAAGGACAGAAACAGTCACCCAGAGACACTCCGAGACGCAGAGAAAGACAGAGAGAGAGAGAAGCAGGGCGATGGAGAGACGGGGCGGAAAGAGGAAACGGGGGGAAAGAGCGGAGGCGGGGAGGGAAAGCGGGAGAGCGGCCTGGAGCCTCGGAGGAGAAAACCCGGCCGATGTCTGCTGGCTGTAGATCTGGGCAAAGAACATTCCAGGCAGAGGGACGGCAGGTGCAAAAAACATACAAAAACACATAAATCCCTCCCCCCTCAAAAAAAAAACATTGGTCCAATGCAGCGGGTTCTCAAATTCAAGCAAACATCAGAATCTTTCCGCGGGCTCATGAGAACACTGAGCTCTGGGCTCTGACGGTTTCAATACGTCTAGCTGGGGCTGCTAGAATTTGCATAGCCGATATATTCTAGGTGATGCTGTTGCTAGGTTAGACCTCACAGTTTGGGAACAGCCGGAACGGAAGTGTTTAGCACCTTGTAACTACACTAGCCAGTGTTAGTATTGTTTTCTCTGTGATTCCTGGCGAGGCAGGACTCGCATCACTCCTTCAGTCGAATCAAAGTTTCCCCGCATTTCACGGGCTGCTGGCAGAGGGTGAAATCATCTTCCTGGGCCGCCTCCCCTCCCGTTTCCCATGGGGAAAGTGAGGCTGGAGGGGGGAGAGTTGGCTGATGCTGACTGATGCTGCTCTGGGCAGACCAGGACTTCAACAACAGCCCAGGGCTTTCCCAGGGGCACCCGCTCTCCATCCAGGGGAGCTTCCTCTTTTGGGGCCACTTCTCTGCTCCCACCCCCGCCTCCACCAGGCAACAGCAAACGGGAAATTTCAGTTTCCTTCGTCTCTCTCAAGTCCGTCTCTTTCCTATAAGGGGAATTTCTTCACCTGGACTCTCCAGCCTTCTGCTTGTGGGGTCCCAAAGGGCTCTTGACGGGAAGCATCCTGTGGGTGGGTGGGGACAGGCCAGGGAAGGCCCAGGGGTCCTGGGAAAGGTGGGTTTGGCCGGTGTGTGTGTGTGTGTGTGTGTGTGTGTGTGTGTTGAGCATTGCACTCAGGGTCCACTGAGGGGGGATGTGTGCTCCAGGAATGGAGCTGCTTGAGGCCTGGCTGTCCACTGACCCCTCTGCGGAAGTGCTGGATTTGAGGGAGCCTTGGGGGAGTCTCAGTGATGAGGGCTTAGGGGATGCCAAGAAGGAGGGGAAAGAGACAGTCAGAGAAAGAGAGCCAGAGACATAGGAGAAAGGGAAAGACAGAGAGAGGCAGAGACAGGGAGAGACAGGGACAGTCAGAGAGAGACAGAGGTGGAGATAAACAGAGAGACATAGACACACAGAGAGAAACACAGAGACACAGTGAGAGACAGAGAGAAACAGAGGGAGACAGAGAGGTGCAGAAAGTGACAGAGAGCAGAGACACAGAGAGACAGACAGGGAGAGACACAGTGAGAGTCAGAGACAGAGAGAGACAGAGATGCAGA